GGGGTTCAGATAGTTTGAAAGAGTGAACTGAAGAGAGTTGAAAGTGAGGACAAAAGGTCAGTTATTGAGAGGGACATTTTTTAGTTTAAAATTGTTGGTTTTTTTTTTTTTTGAAAAAAATAATATTTTAAGAAATCGATGAATATTCTTGAATATTATAGTAGTAATTAATTTGGAGGCATCCGACTTCTTAGATTTGAGGGAGAAAAGTGATGACTAATGAATAATATGAATTGCAATTTTTTTTTTTAGTTCAATTTTTGAAATGTTGGATGGTGGGGTCACTTGGGCCAAAAGAGTAATACACCCACAAGATTTGAGCGCTAAAATTTTATTCAAATTTTGTGATGATGATGATACACGTGATGTTTTGGGAGGAGGGAGAGCCTCTTTGCCCATGTGCATTTACTCCATTAGCCAATTTAGGCCGTGTTGATTGATAAAATCAATAAAATAAAATTGTTCAACTTAGGCTTAGGTTCCGTTTATTTCACTGATTCGAGTTTAAAATTTGAATTTTATTACAGTAAAAAGCTCTAAAAAACAGTCACATCTAACTTTTTACTACTGTAAAAAACTCTCACACAATATCACATCTCAACTCGAATTAAAAATTTGAATTAACGAACCGAACGAGCCCTTAGTTTGATAGTGATGTGGATTTTAGAAAAACTGCTTTTTAGCTGTGCTAAAGGAAGAAGCAGCTGTTCCAAGAAACAGCTGAGTGTTTGGTAAACTGTAATTATAGTAGCTGTGCTGGTTCCAAAATTAGTATAATAACGTTTGGTAAATTTTGAGGTGGAATTGCTGTGAGTATGTAAAATGACCAAAATAGACATGATATGAAACTTAAATATATAAAATTATTTTTGGTATTTAAAAATACTTGTTTAACTTTAAAAACACATAATGTTATGATTTTAAATTTTTTAACAATAAATTTATGATAATTAATTTTCTTTTTTTTTTTTTTCATTTCTTCATTCACAATATAATTACAACTAAAAAGAGCATTAATGAGTAATCAAATTGTTGAACAAAAATGCACATTCCATGTTAAAAAACTGATAGAGGCATGAAAAGAATTAAGTCGTGTTCATTAATTTGATCTCGTACTTCATCCATTTCTAGTAACAGTAAAACTTGACTTGCTCCGTAAATGAATAATTAAGTATGTCTCCCAACATTTTCCATTTTTTATTTCAAACACCAAAAATCCGTTCAATAAAACTTCGAAGAGATGAGAAAAGAATTTCTCTTAAGTTTGTTTTCACCAAAATAGAGTAAAAGAACAGGCGAGCAACAGAGTAAATTTTCTCTCAAGTTTATTGAAATACGATAAACCGTTGTCACAATAATATAGAACAACTTTACTGAGAAATATTATAGACAAAACCGATTAGAACTTTCATTTTCCGAGTATTTTCCCTCTAAATTCAAATCACCAAAGATTCTAAAGAAGCTTTCTTGATGAGGAGGTGTCTAGATGATCATCCTTACTTTGGAGAGAAACAAAGGAATCCACCCACGGCCCACCTATAGAACTGCCTAATTGTTGACTTGTGTTGGAGTACAAAGAGAAATCAGTTTGGCTGTCCAGTGCCAGCATCTCAAAGGCCTTAAACGTTGCATTCTGGTCATCCTTGCTGCAATCGACTACTGGTGCTTGGACCGGGATTTTGCCTTCGAGCATACTGACCACGGCGGACATGGTTGTTCTAAGACTGGGAGACTGGTTGGTACACAAGAGCGCCAGGTTAAGCATTATTAGAGCATCCTTTTTGGAGTAGTTTGAACCAAGACTAGGATCCACAAGGTCTAAAAGATTTCCTTATTCTTGTTTGACATAGGCCTTCAGTTACATGCACATAAACAAATCAGTTTGTGTAAGAGAATGACATGATTAACATCTAATGACATGAAGAACATCTAACTTTAAACTCGTTGAATGCACTTAAGATTAGAAAATCCATTTGAGAGACGGTGTCCATCTTCTGCCTCTTTGATGCATAAATCACAAAAACGATCTACAGTTTCATAATCCCATATTGCTTTACTTTGTGGTATAGCACCCTCCATTTAGGAAATGCTAACTGAAAGTTTGGCAGATGTTATAATCTTTACCTTTCTCATTTGGAGGAGGCAGCCAAATATTACTTGGCTATGGTAAATATAAGCAAGTAATAGATTGCCTTGGATAAGAATTAGCTTTTTCTTATATTTTAAGACTGACTTATAAACTTACAAAAGGAGGGTGTACATGGGATATTTTGTTATCTATCACATATCACGTGTATATCAAAAAATAAAATAATATATATATATATATGCACATAAGTGTGAGATAGCTAGTAAGTATACATGTCGTCCATATATTCAAAAATGGCCAACATCCACATGAGAGCAAATTTCCATCGATTTCAAACTAGAGGCCTAGAATCCAAGGGGAAAAAAATAAAAATAAAGCACATCTTTTTTGCCCCCCACCATCCCCAACACAAGCGTTCTTCCGACTACTCTCAATCATTTCAAAAGGCAATCATCATACAAAACCTCCATTAACTGTTCATTTCTAAATTTTAGAAACATCTAGTAGATTAATAAAAATGAGCTGCAATGGTCTTAGTTCATGAAAATTTAATCAAACATACCTAACTACCTTAGCATTCTACCAGCAAAAAGGAATCGCTCTCTAAATGGATAGTTTTCTACTAACTGCAAAAAGGAATTCCGAAGAAATGAAAGCATGGATGCAAATGCAATATTCATGCAAAATTTATGCATTACCCAATGAATTTACAATTCCTAATCATATAAATACCAAGCATCTGTTTTTCCATGTATAGCAAAAAAAAAAAAAGTCTGTTTTTCCCCTCTAGAACTTGTTTTCCATGGCTTCCCTTCCCTCTCTCTCGAAAACCATTTCTCAAAAACACCCTTCCATCTCTCACGAAAACCATTTCTCAAAAACACTCAGATTAAACATGAAAAAATATAGCCCACAAGCACTTACAGACTATCAAACTAAGCCAGAATCGAAGCAAACACCAAATAAACTTCACAGGAAAACTCTTTCGAAATGGAGAGAAACGAATCCATAGCAAAAAATTTATGTGAAAACATTACCAATCAAGACAAACAAAGATCAATTAAGTACTTATAGAGGCAATAGTCTTGATTTGAAGAGCTCCAACCGACAATCCCACAATCACATGACGAGATCATAAAACCCTAACCACCACGGACCTGTTTGACAGAGAAATGAGAGAGAGATTCCGTGTCACGCCCCTAAACCGGGGTTAGTGACGTGGAGGCTCGTTTAGAAACTTAAACCTGTTTGGGAAAGAGAGATTAGCAAAATAATTTAATTCCTTTCAAATCTAAAACATTCAGGGATTTCCAAACCTGCATTCAAGAGAAATTTAATTTCAAGAACGGTGGTGGAATTTCCAACCAAACCAGTTTTAAAACCACATCACTGGTATCATGTCAGGAATTCCCACAGGTGTTTAGCATACATGAATATAAACATAAGTAAATGTGACATCAACCACAATCTAGCAACATTTAAGTTTACAAACCATAATCTCTTATACATGCCTTGAAATAAAAGATAGGAGGGTTACAACTCTTTACTTCCCGAGATCAAGTCCACACCACCGGTAATAGCTACCTATTCCGTACCACTCCTCGCGTCGCCTGGAGGGGTTTAATACATTTAAAAACAGAAAAAGGTGAGCGAAAGGCCCAGTAGGATATAAATTTTATAAAGCATTTAAAATAAAGGTACTCACGGTCTGAAGATATACATCCGGAACCGATCATCCCTTTTTAGAAAAGGAAATACTCACAATAGAAAATATATGTATAATGAAAGTGTGCAGCTCATCATACCACTAAACAAGAAGCGGTAAAAATGTCTGTCTAAGAAAAGTGCAGAGCCATCATTCCCACTAAACAAGAAGCGGATCCGTACGGGTTTCGGGACCTACCCCCAAGGATGCGATTCCCACATCCCGATCTCTAAGGCCACCATGCATTGTATCATTTCTTAAAATATTTCATTTTAAGAATTGATAC